TTTAAAAAGTGTTGGTTTTCCTACGAATCCGCAAGAGCGCGCGGGATGATATTTTGACATTTTTTTGTTGAAAAACCATTGGTTTTTTGATGTTTTTATGTTGAAATCGCTCCGAACACTAAGCTTTTGGAAGGATTTCGTCTTGCGCGCGCGAATGTCCACTTTACCTTTTTTTTTGCAAGGGATTCTTGAAATTTGATTATATTAGAACAAGAAATGTCATTTTAGTGTTTTTTGCAAGGGAAAACGGATTACAACAAAACAACCGGATCTTGATGACATCGTATTACCTGAGGCTTCCTCACGAAAATGATGAAAATGTAGCTGCGGCCTAGGCGGCGCAGGGGGGCGCGCACCAGGGGGCCCAACAATAATTATTCTTTAGAATAAATAATGTTCAACAACAGCAACAGCAACAGCAACAGCAACAGCAGCAGGAACAACAACAACCATACTTGCAAGACTGATCGCTCCTATCTGCTCGCGTGCCATTCAACACGTACATCCCAAGCCCTCGATACCCGTCCTTTTCGTTCTCGATCGTATCCCCTGGGGCTCATCTTGCTTACCTGCCGCGTGTAACTGGCGCAGCCCCTGAAACAGGGGAGGCGGGGACGGATGGAAGAGGGAGGGAGAAGGCTGGAGCACGGGATTGGCCGGGGGGGGGGCTAGGAGCAGAAAACACGTGGCAGAAGCAGACGTGCTGATCAGGCGGGCATACCCTGAAGGGCGGGTCGGGGAGGCGGGCCCAAGCGGCCAGGTCGAGCGGCGGGTTGCTGAAGCGTGAGTGCTGCATGCATGGCGAGGACCACGAAGGGCGACAACGGGGCCACGGATGGCAGCGAGGGGGCCACGAAGGGCGCCAGCGAGCGGGGGCCATGACGGGCATGCGTTTGCGGGGCCACACATGGTACGGACGGGGCCACGAAGGGCAGCAAAGGGGAGGGCAGCGAGGAGGCCACAAAGGGCGACAGCGGGGCCAGAAAGGGCAGCAGTGTGGCCACGAAGGACAGCGATGCGGCCACGACGGGCACGAGCGAGCGGGGGCCACAAAGGGCACACGCATGCGGGGCCACAGAAGGCAGCGAGGGGGCCACGAAAGGCAGCGAGGGGATCACGAAAGGTAGCGAAGGGGCCACAAGGGCGACAGCGAGAACACAAAGGGCATGCATATAGGGCCACGACGGGCGCGAGCGAGCGGGGGCCACGAAGGGCAGTAAGGGGGGCCACGAAGGGCAGCGAGGGTGCCACAAAAGGCGGCAGCGGGGACACGAAGGGCATGCATATGGGGCCACGACGGGCGCGAGCGAGCGGAGGCCACGAAGGGCCGACGTATATGGGGCCACAAAGGGCGACATCGGGGCCACGAAGGGCAGCAATTGGGCCACGAATGGCAGCGAGGGGGCCAGGAAGGGCGACAGCGAGGCCATGAAGGGCATGCATATGGGGCCACGACGGGCGCGAGCGGGCGGGGACTACGAAGGGCATACGTGTCTAGTGGCCTTCGGCCTGTCCCGCCGCCGTGCCTGGGTTGTGGGTTAGAGGCCTCTTGGGTGTTCGTTGGGATATCGTGGGAGGCCCTTCGGGGGTCCCTTGGAGGCAGTTCTGGGCCTCCTGAGGGCCGTTTGGGGGTGCCTCCTGGGGCTTATTTTGGGAACAGCGAGAAACTCAGACGCTGCAGGCTCGGGGAGGCCCAGGAAACACCAACGCGTCCCAACAATCTCGATCCTCGGACTTAGGGCGCTTCTGGAGGCCCGAAAATGCCCAATCACGCATAAAAGTATCAACCCTCGAACTCTACTCCAGATTTCGAAATAAAGGGAGGGGGGTCTCATTTCGGGGGAGGGTCTCTTCCAGGCTATCTTGGAGGGTCTGGGGGGTCTGGGGGCGATGTTTTGGAGGGTTCTCCCACGGGGGATGTCTGAAATGGCTTGTCTTGGAGGGTCCAGACCCCCTCCCTTTTGTTACGAAATCTGGAGCAGATGCCCCCAGAGGCGAGAAAGGGCAACTGAGCACCAGGCATCTCGAGCCTCTGCCTCCTCCTCCCCTGACTCCAGATCCGCCCTACTTTGGCTTTTTTTCCAACTTAAAATTGCGTCGGAAATCCACCTATAAGAAGCCGAACAGGTAGGGCGGACATTTCTGCACCCAACACAACATAGGGCGGAAAAATCCACAGAAGTGGGGCGGAGACAGCAACAGAAGAGTGGGGCGGAAACTGGCATCAGCGCGGGGCTTGAGAAGTGGGGCGGAACTTCCAAGCCCCACTCACGAATTTCCCCAAAAGTAGGGCGGATCCGGAGTCAGATCCCCGACGTCATGATTTTTTCATGACGCGACCCCCAGAGGTCCAGACCCATTCCCTGGCACCGGTTTTTCGTCACGAGTCGTTTTTTGACGGTCCCGAGGCCCGGTGAGGGCCCTCAGAGGCCGAAAATAGCGAAAAACCTCCCGTCGTGATTTTGTCATGACTCGAGGAGGTCTGGGTCAGGGCCTCCCTGGAGGCCGTCGCCGGCCGCCTGCACGACGAGGACCACCTCGCGGCGGCGGCCCGGGGCCTGCCGGCGGCTCTGAGGAAGGCCGTCGTCGGCGGCGCCGTCGCGGAGCTGCTCAAGGCCTTCGGGATGGAGGGTTTCTCCGAAGGGCTTAGGCGACCCGTCCTCTTCCTCCTCCTCCTCCTCCTCCTCCTCCTCCTCCTCCTCCTCCTCCTCCTCCTCCCCCTCCTCCTCCTCCTCCTCCTCCTCCTCCTCCTCCTTCTCCTCCCTCCACCTCCTCCTCGGGTCGCCTACGGCCCCGGGGGAAACCATGCAGCCTTCGGGAGGGCGCCAGCCGTGCGCCTGCGGCCGATCCTGGCCAGGTCAGTTCCCAGACCCCCTCGAGCCATGAAAACATCACGACGGGAGGTGTTTCGCTATAGTTTCGGCCTCGGAGGGCCCTTGCCGGGCCTCGGGACCGTCCAAAAAACGACTCGGGACGAAAAAAAAACGGTCCCGGGGAAGGGGTCGAGACCTCTGGGGGTCGACGTCATGAAGAATTCATGACGTCGGGGGTCAGGGAGCCGTGCGCTTGCGGCCGATCCTGGCCAGGGCAGTCCTGGACCCAGGAGCGGGCCAGGGCGAGGAAGGGTCGGGGAGGTCGAAGTTCAGGGCGTGTCCGTCCCTTGCCTGGGTCTCTGGGGTGCTCCAGCGACGTCTGTAGAGGCCTCCGCAGGCCCAAAGTCGGGGAAACGTTAGACTCGGGTGCGCCGGAACTCTGCCAAGACTTTTCGACGGGCTCGCCGTGGATTCTGACCGTCCAGGTTTCGTGGGATGTCTGCAGCGGGAGCTCGCGCCAAACCTCAGAGTGGGTCTCGTGGTTTCTTGACGGCCTCGCCAGGCCAACCCCCAGTCCCCCGTCTCCCCGACCCAGGGGCCTCCGAGAACCTCTGGAGAGACCTCCAGGAAGCAAGGTGCATCGGATCTCGTGGCCAACCCAGGAGGGCGTCTGCACCGACCGTGAGCCCAGCACGGGCCTGGCAAGGATCGGAGTGGACGTACATTTGGCGTCCTCTTCAGATTCTAGACACGGACCACGCGGGGAATCGTGACGCTGCCTTGGGCTTGGGCGACGGGGGCGTTGCCCGCGTGGAGTCGCTCAAGGAGCAGCTCGAGGCGGCGGTCTTCGACCCGGCCCGGGACCTGAGCCCGAAGAATCGCCAGTTATTGATCACACGGTCCTTTCGACAGCTGCCCGTGGAGGAGGTCCAGGCAGTGGCAGAGAGCATCGGCGAGAAAGCCCACAAGGCGATCCTCTCCAACGTGTTCGAGAATGTGAACCCCGCTGAGCTGAAGCACTGCGCCGAGCTCCTGAGCTACCTGTCCGAGGGCACATCCGGCGCTCACTCTCCTTTGACGGCCTTCGCGTCGGGCGTCTGCGGCGACGCCATCGCGGAGCTCTGCAGGAGCCTGCTCCGGCGCTTGAGCACGGAGGAGAAATCGGCGATGGCGGAATCTTTCGAGATAAGCACGAGGAGGGGCAACCCCAAGCGCGCGTCCTGCGAAGAGTTTGCCGATGTCGCCATCCAGACAGACGAGTCCTCTGTGCGCAGGTCCGCCTCTTACAGATCCAGCTCCTTGTTCCCATTGTCTCAGAGGCCGGGCGCGGTCAACTCACCAACCACCTCACCGATCCAGGCCAGTCCAACCCGGGGCCCAGGATGGGCCAGGCCAGGGCCGGTGAGGTGGTCGGTCGGCGTCGCCCGAAGAGGCCCTCGGTTCTGTCGTCGGTGGGGGACGTCGACGACCTCCCCGAGCTGGGGGCCGCTGATGGCTTCGCCGCCGCCGCGTCCGTGGCAGTGCAGACGGACGCACCGCCCTGGCTGGCCCTGCCCGCGAGCACGGTGCGCGCTGCCACCGGAGCACAGGCCCCCGCCGCCGGCAGCGCCACCGCCGCGCGGCCCGCGGAGGGCGCCGGCGGCCGCGCCCGGCCGGAGGCCGGCCCGCTCCGCATGGAGGCGCCCGCGCTGCTGGGCGGCGCCCCGCCGCCAGAGAGGGCCGCCCGAGAGCGCACGGCCGATCGGCGCCCGGAGGGCGCCACGGCGCGCGCGGCCGGCGCCCACGGCTCGGGGGCCGCTGCGGAGCTGCCCGCGCCGGCGGCGCCCCTCGGCTCCGGGCGGGCCACGGCGCTGCTCGCGGCGTCGCCCGCGGCAGAGCCCCTGTCCGGCCGCTCCACGTCCAGCAGCGGCCCCTGGCGCGAGGTCGCTCGCGCGAGCAGCCGCGCCTCGCGCCAGCACGAGGGCGCCGAGGAGGGCGCCGAGGAGGGCGCCGAGGAGGGCGCCGCGTCGCGCAGCACGCAGCCGTTCCAGAGGGCCGCGAGCAGGGCTGGGCTCCTGTCGCGCCTCGCGCCCGGCCGCAGCCAGGGGCGGGCACAGAGCTGCCCCCACCTCCGGGCGGGCCGCTCCTCGAGCCACCCCAGCCCCGCGCGCGCAGGGGAGTTCGACCAGGGTAATGCCCTCGTGATCAGCGGCCACGCCTGCGACACGCCAAGCTTCCCGCACGAGCTGCGCGAGGACGCGCCCGGCTCCCGGCGCGAGCCGCGCAAGGTCCAGAGCCGCGCGCAGGGCTGCCAGACCGCCATTTGGGTCGACGCGCAGCAGGTGAGGCTGCGGCTCCAACAGCCCGAGCACGGCGCCGAGGCCGCGGCGGGCGAGGCAGCTTCGGGGCCCGACCCGCTGGCCGTAGAGCGCGAGCTGGCCGAGCTGGCCTGGAAGTTCCTGCGTCAGCCGAGGGGGCGATGGTGGCAGGGCCTGCTCCGGAGCCTCGAGCAGCGGCACGGCGCCCTCCCGAGCTGCGGGGCCGCTGTCGCGCAGGAGCTCGGCGCCGCGGGGCTCCAGCGGTCCTGCCAGCCGCCCGCGGAGCCTGCCCCGCCTTGTGCCCCGCCGGCCACCTCTGCCGCACCAGCCCCGGGGGCCTCTGCTCCACAGGCAGCATCCTCGCCATCTTCTGCGACGGACGGCAAGCTGACCAGCCAGCGACAGCACCCAGTGGCGCCCGCGTCGGCTTCGCCAGCGCCTGAGCCAGCGGCGCCTGAGCCAGTGGCGCCTGCGCCTGGTGGCCCACCGCCCGAACCGGCGGTTCCAGAAACATTGGCGGGCACGACCCTGGCGGGGTCAGCTGCGCGTGCCGACCTGGCGGCGGGCATGGACTCGGTGCTGGCAGACGTGGCCGGCGCAGACTTGGCGGCGCCAGTTGCGCGTGCCAAGCCTGCGACACCCACCTCTGCCGACGCCGCGACGCCCAGAGAGCAGGACAAGGACACTGGCCCAGCGGGCTGCAATCCGCTGGTTGCGCCGCTGGAAGCCGAGAAGTTCGGCCAGGCATCGGCGATTCCGCTGGAGACGTCAGTGGCGACGCCGGCAGCAGCCAGGCCCATGGCAGTTGCATCGGCATCGGCAGCGGCGGCGAAGCCAGACGCAATGACAGTCGAGAGAGTGTCCGCGGCGTCGGATAGCCCCGCTGCGTCCATAGTTACAGCCCCCGCCGACGGCGGTCCTGCCGAGGCAGCACACGGAGAAGTCGATACGATCAGGCCAGCTTCCACCACGAGAGCCGACTCGCAGCTGGAGCAGAGCTCTTCGCGGGCCCTTCCAGGCGACGTAACGCCAGCGTGCGACGGGAGCCAGCTCGGCGTCGTCCAGCCGCTTTCGCGGAGTGGCAGCAGCCTAGGCCAGAGTGCGACGAGGAAGAGCTCGGCCGACTCCGACGTGGCCGCGGCCAGGGTCAGCGGCGGCAGCGGCTCCCCTGCGCAGGGAGACGACACAGTTCACCGCGCCCAGCGCCATCTCTTGACCGACACGCCAGCGAGCCGGGCGAGCCGGTCGCCGACGGGCAAGCTCGCCGATCCCACCCTGTCGGCCATCGAGTCGAAGCTGGGAGGCCCGCCGCAGGAGAATGGGCACCCCGCCGCGGGAGGCCCGCTGCCCGACCTGTGGTCCGTCCTGCCCCGCCGGCCGGCGAAGATCGCCACCGCGCGGCGCGCGACGGAGGGCACGCGGGCGGCGCCACGCGAGGCGCAGCCGCCGAAGCCGGTCAGCGTTGCCGGCCTCGACTTGCCAGAGCAGCCGCCGCCGCCGCCGCCGCGGCGGAGGGCGGCAGAAGCTACCCAGGCGAGGCGGCGTGAGGCAGGCTGCCGTCGTCGACGTCGCCGTCGCCGCCGCCGCGCCGCCCTCGTCGCCGACATCGCCGTCGCCGCCGCCGTCGCCGCCGCCGCCCTCGTCGCCGACATCGCCGTCGCCGCCGCCGTCGCCGCCGCCGCCCTCGTCGCCGCCGCCGCCCTCGTCGCTGACATCGCCGCCGCCGCCACCGACACCCCCGCCGTCGCCGCCGCCCTCGCCACCGCCGCCGACGTCGCTGGCGTCGTCGTGAGGCCGGTCCGCCGCCGAGCGGTGCCCAGCCGCTCGGGGAGGGTCTGCCAGCCGCTCGAGCGGCAGAGGCGAGCCTGTCGCCGCACACCGCCCCAGAAGGCTCCGCGGCCTTGCCCGCGAGCGCGCGGAGGCGGAGCCGCAGGTCCCCTACGAGGTCCAGGGAGGTGGTCGGGGAGCCTCTCCTGCTCCTCCTGCTCCTCCTCCTCCTCCTCCTCCTCCTCCTCCTCCTCCTCCTCCTCCTCCTCCTCCTCCTCTTCCTTTTCCTCCTCCCCCTCCCCCTCCCCCCCGTGCTCCTCCTCCTCCTCCTCCTCCTCCTCCTCCTCCTCCTCCTCCTCTCCTCCTCCTCCTCCCCTCCTCCTCCTCCTCCTCCTCCTCCTCCTCCACCTCCTCCTCCTCCTCCTCCTCCTCCTCCTCCTCCTCCTCCTCCTCCTCCTTGTTTGCATCACTGGTAGCTCACGGGGTTCCTCCAGGCTATCTCAGTGTCACTCATGCTCTGTATCACTCCCCCAGAGCCTGGGCCCATGTAGGTGGCCGTCTTCAATACACGTTCGAAATAGGTTCAGGTGTTCTCCAGGGCTGCCCTCTCTCGGGATCGATTTGGGTCCTGGCTGTTGATGCTCCCATTAGACACCTAGTCCAGACTATAAGCACCCTCCCTGGATCCAACAAGCTGGTCCTCGCTCGCCTTGGGACCGTCCCTTTCCTCCTTTCCCCCGTTTCGGGCCACTGCTACTCTCGCAGGACTCGAACTACAGATCCAGAAGACAGCGATTGTGCCATTAGGGGCAACTTTTTCACCTACCGCGCACTCCCTCACTCAACGCCTCTTATTATTTCTAATGATGGCTGAGTGGCAGCACGTTCAGATTGCAGAATACGCACGCTATCTAGGCGTGCTCATTGGCCCAGCAGTTATTTTAGACATCCAATGGAAAGCCGCATTTGATAAATATTGGCTGCGCGTTGTACAATTAGCGGCGAGCGTTCCTGGCCCCGCAGTGGCGCTCAAACTGTACAATACATGTGTTATCACTGTCCTCTCGTACCTCACGCAGTATTTTCCATTTCCAGCCACTTTCCTGAGGCACGAACGTGGCACCCTACGTCAGATTCTCAGATCTCCCCCAACTCCTGGCGCCTTGTCGACCTCCTCGGCACTCGCTCGTGGTCGCATTCGTCCTCCCCCAACTCACTGATCACGTTTTCACTGGCCCCAGCGTGGCGCACGGCATTTGTCACGCTTCCCGACTGGAAGCCACTGTATCGCTCTGTAGTACTTGTTCAAGACAAGCTCAACCCAGGACTGACCTTGGCGGATTAGGCCCAGGCCCGTATTCGGGCCACGGTTTCTCCCGTGTTTTGGAAGTGCCCTGGCATCGTCGAATATTGGCGCGAGTTTGCTGACGGCAAACCACCGCACTCGGTCTCACCGCTCGTCTGGCGTGCAGTTCAGCGAGCGGCCGCACATGAACAAACTGCCGCTGCCCAAGAATCCAGGCGTGCTAGGGTCCAGCGTTCCCTCGCATCGGTCCTCCACTCCTCCTTCTTCCCCGACAAGTTCGCTGAGACTCTCGCACGCCGTCTCTCAGCGGCGCTACCTGATCTCGTAGTGCCACGGAATCTGTCCGACTGCTGGCAGGAATTCGCCAGTCACCTCTCGAAGAGGCCCCCAGCCATCCGCTGGGCCGTATATAAGACGTTGGCGGGAGCGTGGTGGACCAGCCACCGCTCCCCCTTCGGCCCGCGCCGCACCTGTCTGCTTGGGTGCGATGCTTGCCCATATCGTCTCGGCCATTACCTCACCTGCCCCCGCCTCCTTCATTTCCTCGCGTTACCTCGTTCCTTCTTCTCCTCGGACCCTCTCGTTCGCATTGACCTAGGGACGCCTGGGCAACACGCTAACCCTGAGCACGCTATTCCTGAGGCTGTCCGTCGGACAGCACTTTCATTGCACTTCAACAACAAATTGCGTATCATCACGCACGCCGCGCCCAGCGCCTCGCTTCTTTACACTACTGGCACTGAGTGCCGAGCCGCTGCACTGCACGCGATGAGGCCGTAGCCTGAGACGAAGTGGAGCGGGGACACTTGCCCTCCTCTCGCGTCTTGCCCGCTTGCCCTCGTCTCTTCCCTTCTCGGTACGGTCGCTCCCCCTCCTCCTCCTCCTCCTCCTCCTCCTCCTCCTCCTCCTCCTCCTCCTTCTCCTCCTGTCCTCCCTAGTGTGGTCGATTCAAGTGGATAGACCATTACCCTGCCCAGTAAGACATTGAATTATTAGCATTTCGGGGTGCTGACCCCTCCTACTTTGCCCGAGCAGCGCGTTTCGACAGGAGCGCTCCCCCACGAAACGAGGGAGATGCTTTTGGAGCACAGAGGCAAAGAGCGAGGGACTCCAAGAATGGAAATGTTGCCCTCCGCCGGCCGATTCGGGTGGACCGGCCATGACCTCTCCCAGTAAGACGTGCTGCCCGCTTTCTGGGGGGGGGACCCCTCATGCGCTGCTTCACGCATACGATTTGCCGGCCAGTGTTGCCTGGCGCGTTGCCCAACGAAGATGTGGGCAGGGGGAGGGGCAGGATTTGTTTTCCCTGGTGCGCCCACTGTGATGCAGTGCGCGCGCGTACCGCAGTGAGTGTGTGAAGCACTGTGTGACCGCGGATCAGTTGATACTGAGTTTCGAGAGGTTCCGATCTGCGGCAAGCATGCTTGCACAGCGCCCGACTGAAGCACAAATTATAGTGCACCCGAGCGCGAAGCACAATTTGTAATGCACCCTAGCGTGAAGCATATGTTACTGTGCACCCGAGCGTGCAGCACTCTTTTGTTCAGCTGGTTGATGGCTGGCTTGTCGAAGTTCGACAGGCTAGCATGTCAGAACTTAAGTTGTTTGTCTGACTGTATATCCCCCTGCATTCTAACAAGATCTTAATCACATCTTATGTGCACCCATTAGACATCAGGAGGTGGCACTACGGCCGGCTGAGGAAAAGGACCGTCCAACCAAGTCACATGTTCAGGGATGTGCGCACATCCCAGTAGTGTTCCCGACACTTCTCGCCGCAACGGGGGAATGACATTGAGGGGCACTGAGGCAGAGAGCTACGGACTCCAAGAGTTCAAATGTACCGCTCAGCCAGTCGATTCAGATGGATCGGCCATCACCTTTCCCAGTAAGGCATGGCATCCGCATTTGGGGGGTCTCACCCCTTATAGTGTGCCCTAGCAGCGCGTGTCGACAGGAGCGCCATGCTAGACTCCTCCCTCCCGAAACGAGGGATACGTATCGGGGGCGCAGAATCAGAGAGCTACGGACTCCAAGAGTTCGCATGTAGCCCTCAGCCTGTCGATTCGATTGGACAGACCATTACATTGTCCAGTATTGCATTGCATCCACCATGTGGAGTGCTACCCCTCATTATTTGCCTTAGCAGCGCGTTCTGACAGGAGCGCTATGCTAGACTCCCCGCCAACGAAAAGGGGGATGCGTTTTGGGGCACAGAGGCAGAGAGCTGCGGACTATGAGAGTTCATATGTGGCCTCCAGCCGGCCAGGTCAATCGGGCATTCCCGCTCCCAGTAAGACATTATACACGCTCTTTGGGGCGTTCATCTCTCGTACGTTTGCTCAGCAGCAGCATGAACACGAATATGCGTTTGCGTACCTGCGAGATGCGTGTGTGGCGGCATCCGGGTTTTAGCACGCGCGCGCAGACTGGACGCGATAGGCATGCACCATGTGGCAGTAGACGGCAGCAGGAGAGTGATACAGTTTCCCAAAAATAATCGTATCATCCAGAATCTGTGCTGTCACTCACGTTTCCGCCCTCGTGCTCTCGAGGGGGGCAGGATTTGTCCGCCCTGCTGGGCGGGGCAGGCGACAGCAGCGGCATGAGCACGAATCTGCAAGTGTGTACCCGCGAGATGCGAGCGTGGCAGCATCGGGGTTTTCGCACACCCGCGCAGGGAGTAGAGTACGTGGGCTGTCGGTGGGTGTGCCTTCCACCTTATGCCGGACATTGGCGGACGAGCTAGCAGCATGGACCCGTGCTGGAAGAGATTCGCCTCCCCGCCAGGGATGCCAACCCCCAGCCCGGATTCGATCGGATCCGAAATGGGCATTGGGGTGGGGAGGGGATGATAGCCAGCGATTGCTGTACATCACCCCCTTGCTTAGGTCACGAGGTAGTGTCACCCATTCATCCATCACTGTTGAGTTTGGGGGTGAAGGGGCCCTCCCGTGCCCTAGTAGTCGAGCCGTGACAATCTTCCTCCTCCTCCTCCTCCTCCTCCTCCTCCTCCTCCTCATCCTCCTCCTCCTCCTCCTCCTCCTCCTCCTCCTCCTCCTCCTCCTCCTCCTCCTCCTCCTTCTCCTCTACTCAAGCACATGTGGTTCGAGACTTTCCGTTTCCGTTTGGGATCTGGTCAGTTTCGACGACACGTCCCACGCCGGCACGGGGCGCTTGGGGGACGCCGAGGCAGCCGCACCGCGAGTGCAGACCTTCTGGGCGACGAAGTGGGACATATCGAGCGGGCAGTTCGCACTGTTGGATCCGCAACTTCCTGGACACTTTCATCGGCTTCTCGCCCGCACCGGGGGGCACGGGGGCTTCGAGCCCATCTACAGTGGAGGCCCATGCCAAGAAACACCCTGCCTGCCTCCAGGGTGCCCTGGGTTTCTCGGGTTTCGATGGCTTTGCTGTGGAAGGCGTGACGTTCCCACACCAAAAATCGATGAACGTCCTGGGGGGGTCTCAGGGTTGGGTTTCTTGTGGAAGGTTTCTTGTGGACAGGTCTCCGCTATAAGTCACTCGGGCGGCGGCACCACACGGTGGTGTTCTTGCGGGTGGTCTCCGCGCACGTCTTCATCGTCATCCCGACCGTAACTGGGGGGCACGAGGACCTCGAGCCCGTCTAAGTCCCACCCAGGCGGCGGCATGTCGTTGGAGTTTGTTCTGGGAGTCTCATTATTCATGTGTACTTGGGCGTCCCATCGGCTACAATGTTTGGATGAGCACGTGTGGGGAGAGCGGGCAGTGGCTGAGAGGTGCGCTTGCGCCAAGGTTGGCCAACGTCCTCCTCGTTCAGTGCCACGCATAGCGCCGTGGCATTTTCCATATTGGACGTATTCAGCCTGATATGGAAGAAAGATGGTTTAATTGGTGTTGGCAGTTGGCGAGGCAGTTTGTAGAGGAGACGATCTAAGTGTGGAGCCCTGCGACGCTGGTTTGCTTGTACGAAATTCGAGGTTGCCCGGCGACCAGTTGTCTTTTCGTCATTGGTATGGGCTGTATCGAGTTGAATAAAATCAGTACCTGCCTAGCCAGCAGTTCTTCGTTGTGTACAATGAGGTATGCATCCGAGGTATTAGCGGTTTTGGGCTCACTTCATGCTTCGCGGCGACTTGCTTGGGTTTTTTGTTCACTATTCCTTGGGCTCTTGTTGGTTGCTTGTTATACGTCATCTGTTTCGGCTACTCCTTGTACACGATCACGGGGCGGCTTTTGTTTGCAAGTCATTAGTTATCATATCATCACGTCCTTCTCCTTCTCCTCATTCTCCTCCTCTTCCTCCTCATCCTCCTCTTCCTTTTCCTCCTTCTCCTCCTCCTTCTCCTCCTCTTCCTTTTCCTCCTCCTCCTCCTTCTCCTCCTCCTCTCAAGCCAGCTCCGCCATTTCAGAGCCCCGCACTTCCGCGCTGCTCGAAAGGCCTGCAGGTATCCACAGCGCCCCATTCTCCGTGTCGGACGACGTCTCTGTCATCAGACTCGGCTCAAAGCAAGATCGGGCTGGGCGAAAACGGATAGGGAACGGGACATTTTCATACGTTCTCGTCGGCTCGCGGCGGCGTCCCGCCCCCGGGACGATCTCCAGTCGCTGCGCTTCGCCGCCTCGCCGAGAGTGTTCTGGGGGTGCCCGGATCGTCCCGAGTGGCCGCCTGAGAGACCGAGCTGTGGCCCGAAAGCCAGGCGACGGGGATCTCTCGGGTCGGACATGACCGGGGGGCAGGGACAGGAGGGGCACCGAATGTGCTGCAGGCGGCTGGGTTCGTCCCGGCCGTCGGGCGTGTTCTTCGAGACACTGGCGCATCCTTCCACGCGCTGGCGCCTCCCAGCGCGGGGAGGCGCCGGGAGAATCAGCTGCGCGAGCGGATTCCCCAGCGAAGTCGAAGGAAGCGTCGGGGATGGATAGAACCCCCACCCAGCCAGGTGGGAACGCCTGCTTCGCATGGCCGCCGGCTCTGGCCCGCCGTGCTTCGGCGCGGCACGAACACCGCCGGTGAGGCTCCGGGCTGCGCGCAGACGCCCCCCCCAGGCAGGCCCAGCTGGCCTCCACAGGCCCCCCCGAGAAGCCTGGGGGCGGTCTCGGCACCTCGGCGCCGCCCCTGGCGGCACCCCTGCTGGGGCGCCCGGCGCCCCCAGAGTTTGGGTGTGGAGACCGCCGTGGTCTGCTCGGGAGGCCTTGTCGAGGCCAGCTGGGGCTGCCTGGGGGGGACTGTTCAGGCCAGCCAGGACCACCTTGGGGGGGGGGCTGTCGGTGCGCAACCCGAGGCCTTACCGAAAGCCGCGGCCCCATTTCCAAGCGTCAACGTCCCGAGTTCTCCCCGGCATCCCGCGGCGCGGAGCGGAGCGACACGCCGCTTGCCGGGGCGACACGCTATCCGATTGCAGGACATGATTGGCATGTCGCCGGGTTTGCCGCCGCGACACGCGAAGCAAAAGTTCCTGACCATAGAAGCCCCACCCTGCCAGGTCGATTGGTGGATCCGCCTGCAGGGGGCCCCCCTTTGGCTTATCCGAAAGGAGATGCAGCCGCAACGTTAGCCGGCCCCCTAAAACCTCGACGTCATGATTTGGTTCATGATGTGACCCCCAGAGGTCGTCGTTCGACGGTCCCGAGTCCAGGTGAGTGCTTGGAGGCCAAGAAACTGAGAAAAGCCGCCCGCTGAGATTTTTTTTCGCGACGCGAGGGGGCCTGGGCTGCGCCAGCGGGCTTTGGACCCGAGGCCGCCTTCATTGAAAGGGTCTCCGCCAATGGCCTTGGACTGGAGGTGGCCCCGCTCGGGGACGACCTGCCCCTCGTGCCCGCGCCGCCGCTGCTCGCCAGCGCGCCGCCGAGGAAGGTGCACACCCTCGCGGCCCTGACGCAGCTGCACCAGCAGGCGTCGGGCCCTCCCTCGCTGTTCCTCCTCCTCCTCCTCGTCGTTCCTTCTCGTCGTTCCTCCTCATCCTCCTCCTCCTCCTCCTCCTCCACCTCCTCCTCCTGTTCCTTCTGCTCCTCCTCCTCCTCCTCCTCCACCTCCTTTCCCTCCTCCTCGTCCTCCTCCTCCTTCTCCTCCTCCTCCTTCTCCTCCTCCGCCTCAAACCTCCTCCTCCTCCTCCACCGCCTCCGCCCCCCCCCCCCCTCCCCCTCCTCCTTCCTCCCCCCTCCTTCCTCCCCCCTCCTCCTCCTCCCTCCTCCTCCTCATCCTCATCATCCTCCTCCTCCCTCTCTCTCCTCCCTCCTCCTCCTCCTCCTCCTCCTCCTCTCTCCTCCTCCTTCTCCTCATCCGCCTCCTCCTCCTTCCTCGTACTCCTCCCCCTTCCCCTCCTCCTCCTCCTCCTCCTCCTCCTCCTCCTCCTCCTCCTCCCCCTCCTCCTCCTTCCCTCCTGCACTCTCCTCCTCCTCATCTTCTCCACCTCCTCCTCCTCCTCCTCCTCCTCCTCCTCCTCACTCCTCTTCCCCCCCCTCCTCCTCCTCCTCTCCTCCTCCTCCTCCCCCTCCTCCTCCTCCTCCTCCTCCTCCTCTCCTTCCCTCCTCCTCTTCCTCCATCCTCCTCCTCTTCCTCCTCCTCGTCATCATCATCATCATCATCATCATCATCATCATCATCATCATCATCATCATCATCATCATCATCATCATCATAAGTGTAATCGTAATCATAATCCTCTCCCTTTTCTTCCTCCCTTCCTGCCTCTCTCCCTCCCTCGCTCGCTCGTTCACTCCTCATCCTCCTCCTCATCCTCCTCCTCCTCCTCATTATCATCATCATCACCATCATCACCAACATCATCCTCAGCATCATCGCAATCACAATCACCATCACCACCACCATCATCAACATCATCATCATCATCATCATCATCATCATCATCATTATCAACAGCAGCGTCAGCATCAGCATCATCAGCATCATCATCATCATCATCACCATCATCATCATCATCATCGTTTTAATCATGATCATCATCATCTAAATCATCTCAGGTATCAGCATCATCAGCATCAGCATCATCAGCATCATCATCGGCAGTATCAGCAACATCATCATGTTCAGCATCATCATCATCATCATGAGCAGCAGCAGCCTCGGCATCATCATCGGCATCATCAGCATCCTCATCATCAGCAGCATCCTAATCACCATAATTTTCATTATCATCATCATCAGCATCAACATCATCATCATCATCATCGTCATCATCATCAACATCATCGGCATCATCATCAGCAGCACCAGCAGCAGCAACATCATCATCATTATCATCAGCCTTCGCCTCCGCCTCTTCCTCCTCCTCCTCCTCCTCCTCCTCCTCCTCCTCCTCCTCCTCCTCTCCTCCTCCTCCGCCCCCCACTCCCCCTCCCCCCTCCCCCTTCCCCCTTCCCCCTCCCCTCCCCCTCCCCCCCCCTCCCATCCCCCTCTCCTTTCCCCTCCCTCATCCCCCGTCCCCTGCTCTCCCCTCCCCCTCCCCCTCCCTCTCCCTCTCCCCTTCCCTCCTCATCAGCATTACCGTCCTCTTCTACCTCCTCTTCCTTTTCCTGCTCATCTGCTTCCTCCTCCTCCTCCTCCTCCTCCTCCTCCTCCTCATCATCATCTGCCTCCTCCTCCTCCTCATCAGCAGCAGCATTATCATCAGCATCCTTGTCATCATCGTCAGCATCATCACCATTATCAGCAGCAGTAGCATCATCTCCAGCATCGTCATCACCATCATCAGCATCCTCATCGTTGTCCTCATCAGCAGCATCATCATCCTCCACATCAGCATCATCATCATCAACAACAACAACAACAGCAGCATCATCATCAGCATCATCATCCGCAGCATCATCATCAGCATCGCCAGCATCACCATCATCAGCGCCAGCATCACCAGCATCATCATACGCATCGGCATCCTAATCGGCATCGTCATCAGCATCCTCATCATCATCATAATCACCGTCAGCATCAACCTCATCATAAACAGCATCAACATCATCATCATATGTATCGTCATCAGTGCATAATCATCGTCCGCAGCCGCATCAGCATCAGCATCATCAGCGGCATCATCATCCTCATCAGTAGCATCATCATCATCATCATCATCATCATCATCATCATCATCAGCATCATCATCATCATCGTCCTCGTCATCATCAGCATGATCAGCATCGTCCTCATCATCAGCAGCATCAGCATCATCACCAGCATCATCAGCATCATCATCGTCACCATCAGCATCCTCCTCAGCAGCATCATCATCAGCATCATCATCATTATCACCGTCAGCATTAGCACCACCATCATCAGAATCATCAGAATCATCATCATAATCGTCATCATCAGCATCAGCATCATCATTATCATCATCATCATCATCATCATCATCATCATCATCATCATCATCATCACCCGCTGCCTCCGTCGCCGTCTTCCCCTCCCCCTTCCCCTCCTCCCTCCCCCCTCCCCCTCCCCTATCCCCCTCCATCTCCTCATCCTCATCCTCCTCCTCTTAAACATCCTCCTCATCTGCCTCCTCTCCCTTCTCCTCCGCCTCCTCATCAGCATCATCATAAGCATCGTCATCATCAATGTCATCATCATCAGCATCGTCATCGGCTGCATCATCATCATCAGCAGCAACATCATCATCATCAGCAGCATCCTCATTTCATCAACAGCATCATCAGCATCATCACCATCGTCATCATCATCATCATCATCATCATCATCATCATCATCACCATCATTAGCATCATCAGCAGCAGCATCATCATCACAGTCAGCATCGCCACCATCTTCATCGTCAGCAGCATCTCCATCGTCCCCATCGTCCTTTTCATCGTCCTCATCGTCCTCCTCCTCATTCTCCTCCTCATCCTCATCCTCATCCTCCTCCTCCTCCTTCTCATCCTCCTCCCGCTCCCCCTCCTTCTCCTCCTCCTCTTCCTCCTCCTTCTCCTGCTCCTCCTCCGCCTCCCTCCTCCTCCTCCTCCTCCTCCTTCTTCCTCTTCCTCGTCCCCCTCCACCTCCTCCTCCTCATCATCATCCTCCTCTTCCCGCGCCACCGCCTCCGCCTCCGCGTCTGCCTTCGCATCCGCCTCCCCCTCCCGCACTCCCTCCCTCTCCCCCCCTTCCCCTCCCCGTTCCCCTCCTAGTCATCCTCCTCCCCCTCCTCCTCATCATCATCAGCAGCATCGTCATCGTCATCATCATTTTCATCTTCATCTTCATCATCATCACCAGCAGCAGCAGCGTCATCCTCCTCGTCCTCCTCCTCGTCCTCCTCCTCCTTCTTTTCCTTCTTCTCGTCCTCCTGCTCCTTCTCCTCCACTTCCTCCTCCTCCTCCTCCTCCTCCTCCACCTCCTCCTCCTCCTCATGTTCCTCCTTCTTTTCCTGCTAGTCCTCATCATCCTCCTCTTCCTCCCACGATGAGGACTCGAGCATTCCGGTGCAGGCGCCTCATTTTGCAGCGCCCGTTGTCCAGAGCCCCGCGCTCCCCTGCGGTGTTTGAAGGGCATGCAGTCTCTTGGCCGCGTCGCCAGCCGATCTGGGCAGCAGAAGCAGAGCGGCTGCTGAAGCTGGCGGCGCGGGCATGGCCCAAGTTCGGGCACGCGCGGGGCGCCACCCGCCCGAGGCGAACGACATCCTCTCCAAGAGGGGCGCCCGCTGCGCGAAGTACTCCTCCTCCTCCTCCTCCTCCTCCTCCTCCTCCTCCTCCTCCTCCTCCTTCTGCTCCTCCTTCTCCTCCTCCTCCTCTTCCTCCTCCTCCTCCTCTTTCAAGACGCTTCCTGTCCGGGATCGGGTCCGGCGGCACTGCCGCTTGCTCAGCCAGGGCTCATTCAAGCCCCACCATCCGCCACCGCCAAAGACAAGGCCGAGGTCAAGGAGGAGTTCAGGGAGGCGACTTTGGCGAAGGAGCTCGCGTTGGCAGAGGCAAGCAAGCGGCTGGCCGCCAAGTCGCTAGCCCGAGAGGTCGGCATGGTGGACGAGTGCCAGGCAGCAGGAACGGCTTCGTCGAGGGAGACCGAGCAACGGGACCTTGTCTATGACGAAACGTTCCTCGCCGATGAGCGCGAGGAGGAGGGGCGCCAGCAGCTCAGGCAGCTGGGCACGGAGCTCAACGGCGCCAAGGAGGCCCTCGCGAACAAGGGCTCGCAGCTGGACACCTGGATGGCGAAGTGCGCGGAGCTGCAGAGGAGCATCACCGAGAAGCTCGCCGAGAAGCGGCGAGCGGCGCAGGGGGCAGTTCCAGGCGGACAGGACAGGACACCGCGGGGGGGGGGCGCGACGCATGCGGCCGGCGCTACCGGCGGCGGCAACTGCGACGGCGCCCACAGCGGGCGCGCGGCAGCGGCCTCGGCGTCGGGGACGGCAGCCAGCGGCGAGCCAACCGGGTCTCAGATTGCCGCCGCGACTGCACGCTGGTCCGAGGCCAAGTTCTTGGCATCGCTCGGACGTGCGCCTGTTTCCTTCGGCGAGGGCCATCCAGGAGCATCCTTGATCATTTGGCGAAAAAACCGCGCACGAAACCAAAAAAAGCGCAGGGAATGGACGTCCGAGCGATGGCGAGAGTCCGCAGCGCAAGAGGCGGCGGATGCGGCGCGCGGGATCCGTGCGGCGGCTCCCCAGACGAAAGGAGTGGCCCGGCAGACTGGCCGGCCCTGCGAGGCGCACGTGGCGCCAAGAAGCACCTTGCTTGCCTCCAGGATGTCCTGGGTGTCTTGGGTTTCGACCGTTTTGCTGCGGAAAGCGTGACGTTCCCACGCCAGAAATCAACGGGCGTCCTGGGGTCTCAGGCTTGGGCTTTTTGTTGAAGGTTTCCTGTGGTCGAGCTCCTACTGTACCCCCTGAATCGGAGATTTCTCAGCCGATCGCAAACATGGATCAAGGGGGCGTGGATGAGCGACGGGTCCCGTTTCCGTGGGCAGTCGCGGATTGCCGCCGCCGAGGGAGGCGGCACTGGCCGCATTTTGGGGAGGGCACCTCCCCCGATCCGTGGACTTGGCGACCGCGCGCCAGATCCACGGATCGCGAATCCACGCTTGCGCGCCCCCGACTTCCGCGGGGGAAGAAGATCTGCACCGACGTCGGCGCGCCCACCCCACCAGAGGCGAGGGCAGCAGACTTTCCCCGGGAGCCGTGCGTCTCCTGCCTGTGGGGCACCCGGGCGACCTGGACGCCAGGCGCGCCGGAGCAGCCTGGGGACCCGCCGAGCAGGTGAGCCAGCCGCGCAGGAGGTCGCGCGGCGCAGGGCTCTCGGCAGCGATTTCATATCCTCCTCTGCTTTCGCCTCCTCCTCCTCCTCCTCCTCCTCCTCCTCCTCCTCCTCGTCCTCCTCCTCCTCCTCCTCCTCCTCGTCCTCCTCCTCCTCCTCGTCCTCCTCCTCCTCCGTAGATTGTGGAAGAGGCCTGTCTCGGCCCAGTTCATTGCTCCCTTCGGCGGGCGCCTCAAGCCGCCGCGGAGCTGCTCACGCACAATGGCGAACTCAGTTCGAGCCCCAAAGACCTTATCGATGGCGAGGGTTCGAGGTGGCACTCACTTTGGAAGTCCGACTCACTCGATTAGGAATCGCCCCAGGGCATGCTCTAGGACACTCGTGAAGCCGCCCAAGTCGACTCCCTTCCCAATCTCGAGGTCCGCGACATCGAGGTCCGCGACATTAGCGGTGCGTTACGTCAGATGAAGCCGAAAGCTAAGTTAAGCATTGACCGTCTAACCTCCCTCGACTTCGAATGATTGCCCGATTGTGCCACCCATAAGCCCATCAAGTTGCCCACCGCAGTCTAGCCGTCTTTGACGCGGCCGTGGCAAACACCATTAGCTATCGGGCGTCGCCTGGCCAATAAACCTGGGGGCAATCGAGATATAGGCTGATTTCCAACGGACGTCGCGCTGGGAGTACTGTTAGGGAGCCACCATCCAAGGCTTGGACAGCCGAGACCCACCCTTCGTGACTCGCGGCAGTTGCAGGCACCAGGGCACTTCGCGGAGTTGTCGCACGCGCGTTAGATGGAGAGGTCGCGGTCAGGATGGGCGCGACAGGAGGTTCGGCAGCGTGGCAAACCCAGAGCTCCTACGACCACGTCCAGCGGTCGAAGCTTGCCGCATCTGCTCTCCGTTTCGACTTTCCCTCCCGTCCTCTTACATATCGAACTTCGTGTTTGGCTCGCCCCTCGCGTTCTCTCTCAAACTGGTGCCGATTCTGAATTCTTCCAACTTGCCCGCAGCGTCATTCACGGGCTCAGGAGTGGGACGAGGTTTGCGAGATGCATGACACATGGTGCGATGAGTCAGTTGCTGGTGGCGAACCCAGTCATGAGCGAACGCATTCCGATCGATGATATCAAGATGCAGATGGAGGGGCCAGAGCGCCAAGTTGGAGGTGGAATCTGCCTCGGCCATCTCTTCTTCGCACTCGCAGCTCGAAGAAACCGAGCTGGCGCTGACATCCGAGAGCGCCGCCTCACGTGCGGCGCATCGTGTCGCGCGGGCCCTCCTCCTCCTCCTCCTCCTCCTCCTCCTCCTCCTCCTCCTCCTCCTGACGAGTTCTCTTCTCCCGCAGACCTCTCACCTCGGCGTCGACCTTGGGACGGGAAGGCGTCTGGCCGGGTCTTCCGGGCGACGGAGGGCGATCAAGGGGGCCACTCATAATTCGAGCTGCGGGGCCTCGCGAGGGCTTCCAAGCGTTGTCAAGTTACTAAAAAGGGTCGGGCTGACTGGACCTCAAGCGGGTTCGGCACACGGCACGGTTTTCGCACGGGCGTTTCGGGGCCCAGCCCACAGCCCAGAGGGAGGAGATTGGGCGTTGTCTCGGGCGCGGCCAGGAAGGGGAGGCGCTTGTCCACTCTCTTGGATCTCCGCGCCCCAGTGCACGACTCTGGATTCAACATCCCCGTCTCTTGCCTCACGGAGTAGCTGCGCACTTGGGTCCAAGAGCCCCGCCCCAGGCCGGGGATCCGCAAAGCGCGGCCCAAAGCCTTGCGGCAGTTTAGGAACCTTGACGTTTCGCAGCATGCTGGGCACGCTCGCGTGCCGATCTCGGCGATCATGGGTCATTTAGTTGGTTGTGCCCACCGAACACAGGCAAGACAGCGCATCAGGATACCGATTGTTTCGTGCCCCCACCCAGCGTTGGCCCAGTGAGATCAGACACCGCGCTTCTGGCACCGCGGTATCATTCCAGCGTTCGTGGACTCGAGTGGACCCACCTGCCCAGGTCGAGGCTTGGAACCTCGTTGAAGCTTCCGAAGGGCCCATCGGGCCTGGTTCCTTGGGGTTGGGCCCCTGGGAGGCCCCTCCGCGGGTCTTTGGGGGTACTCCAGGAGGTCTCTCGGCGACCTCCATCCGAGGTTTCGAGCTTCTAGTTTGGAGGCCTGTAGTTTGGGGTCTTCTTGTCGTTGATGACCAAACTGTTCCTCCTAGTGAGTTGCGAGCGCTGGAGGTCGCCATCAGGCTTTCCCACGGGTGCATTTACTATGCGTCGGACAATGAGGCGGCGGTGAACGGGCGGTGGGAGAAACACCGTGAGCGGACAACAGGTTCGCTGGCACCCATCTGGAGGGAGATCGGGAAGTTTCTCGAATCCAGGCCTGCTCATCATATTGTTGTGCCCCAAGTTCCTTCCCATCTCGAGCCTCACGAGTTTCTCTCTCGTCACATCCCCATCCACCTCATTCTCGGGAATCAAGTTGCCGATACGTTGGAGGGCGCCGCAGCTAAGCTGTACGTATTTTCTGAGGTGCAACGTGCAAGGATTGTGGAGATCGAAGACAAAAAAAGCCCTTGGTTCGAATGAGGTCGACGTTGGACGCCATGGCGGTTCCTGAGGAATCGGCCAGCACACATTCCGAGGCCATGAAGGATACCCGCATCCTCATCCCCCTTCATCCCCCTGCACCCGTAGCCGCGGCTGCGTTTTTATCCGCTCAGACCCTCGACGATGAGGGTCGGTGTAGGAGGAGGAGCAGGACAAGGAGGAGGAGGACGAGGAGGAGGAGGTGGAGGTAGAGGTGGAGGGAGGAGGAGGAGAAGGAGGAGGAGGAGGAGGAGGGATGAGGAAGAGGAAGAGGAAGAGGAGGGATGAAGAGGAGGAATAGTTGGGAAAAGGAGGATGAGGAAGGAGGAGGAGGAGGAGGAAGAGGAGGAGGGAGGAGGAGGAGGAGGGAGGAGGAGGAGGAGGGAGGAGGAGAAAGAAAGAGGAGGGAGGAGGAGGAGGGAGGAGGAGGAGAAGGAAGAGGAGGAGGAGGAGGGGGGAGGAGGAGGAAGAGGAGGGAGGAGGAGGAGGAGGAGGAAGAGGAGGAGGAAGAGGAGGGAGGGGGAGAGGAGGGAGGAGGAGGAGGAAGAGGAGGATGAGGAAGAGGAAGAGGAAGGAGGAGGGATGAGGAGGAGGAAGAGGAGAGAAAAGGAGGATGAGAAGGAGGAGGAGGAGGAGGAGGAGGAGGAGTAGGAGGAGGAGGAGGGTGGAGAAGGAAGAGGAGGGAGGGAGGAGGAGAGGAGGGAAGAGGAGGAAGAGGAGGAAGGGGAGGAGGAGGGAGGAGGAGGAGAGAGGAGAGGAAGAGGAAGAGGAAGAGGATGGAGGAAGCGTGCAGGATGGAGCTGAAGGAAAACCGAGGGGGGGAGGACGCAGCGGGGCAGGCGGCAGACCCCGGCGGCCCGCCCGGCGCCGCGTCGTCGAGGTCCGCCCGGGGGCGGCACGACCCGCGCGCGCTGGGCTCGCTGCTGGAGGGTCCGCAGACTGCGCGGCTGCCCCCCGGGGCCCTGGGCGCCGGCCAGCTGGCGAGCGGCCACGAGGAGGCCCCTCCTCCGGGGAGGAGAGGAGGAGGAGGAGGAGGAGGAGGAGGAGGAGGAGGAGGAGGAGGAGGAGGAGGAGGAGGAGGAGGAGGAGGAGGAGGAGGAGGAGGAGGAGGAGGAGGAGGAGGAGGAGGAGGAGGAGGAGGAGGAGGAGGAGGAGGAGGAGGAGGAGGAGGAGGAGGAGGAGGAGGAGGAGGAGGAGGAGGAGGAGGAGGAGGAGGGAGGAGGAGGAGGAGTGGAGGAGGAGGAGGAGGAGGAGGAGGAGGAGGAGGAGGAGGAGGAGGAGGAGGAGGAAGGAGGAGGAGGAGGAGGAGGAGGAGGAGGAGGAGGAGGAGGAGGAGGGAGGGAGGAGGAGGAGGAGGAGGAGGAGGAGGAGGAGGAGGAGGAGGAGGAGGAGGAGGAGGAGGAGGAGGAGGAGGAGGAGGAGGAGGAGGAGGAGGAGGAGGAGGAGGAAGAGGAGGAGGAGAGGAGGAAGAGGAGGAAGAGGAAGAGGCAGAGAAAGAGGAAGTGGAGGAGGAGGAGGAGGAAGAGGAGGAATAAGAAGAGGCAGAGAAAGAGGAAGTGGAGGAGGAGGAGGAGGACCCGTGTAAACCCAGGAGTCATCAACGATGTTAAAATAAGCCCTCCCTCCAAGTTCCCTCTTCACAGGCCCCTACAACGGCTCAGATCCACTGAGGGAGCTGCCTCGTTGGAAGAGAACCGTTTGAAGACCCTGAATCATGCTAAAACATTGTTATCGGGTTTCCAATACCACGGATCAACCTGATTGTTGCGTCTTGACGATCCTGAATCGTGCCAGAACGCCATTCCTGTGACTTCAACACCGCGCACCAACGTAACTGTTGCACCCTCATAATCCTGAATATTCCAAAACACCGCTTCTGGTACGTAGATCAGAGGAATCCGTTAAAATCGTGCACGCTTTTTCTTTAAAAAATGTGCGCAGCGCCAAGGCGAGAGCCACATTTTGAAGAGGAACCGCCTCAATCCGTGAAACTCTCGCAAATGTTGAACACGATTGCGCGCGGCGCTAAGGCGAGAGCCACGTTTTGAAAACGACCCGTCCTCAATCCGAAACTCTTGCACATGTTGAAAACGAATGTGCGCGGCGCTAAGGCGAGAGCCACGTGTTGGAAACGACCCGCCCTCAATCCGTGAAACTATTGCAAATGTTGAAAACGAATTCGCGCGGCGCTAAGGCGAGAGCCACATGTTGAAAATGGCCAGCCCTCCGAGTGTGAAAATGCTGCCAATGTTTGAGCTTCAGGGTCATAAGTTGCGTGGAATTCTGTGACGAAACGCCCGACCCGCCCTAAAAACTTGTTTCGGGGTGCGACAGGGAGAAGTTGCTTATAAGGAAAATGAATGGAGGAATCGAGGAATCGAGGAATGGAGGAATGGAGAAGGAGGAGGAGGAGGAGGAGGAGGAGGAGGAGGGGGAGGAGGAGGAGGAGGAGGAGGAGGAGGAGGAGAGGAGGAGGAGGTGGTGGAGGAAGAGGAGGAGGAGGAGGAAGAGGAGGGGAGGAGGAGGAGGAAGAGGACGAGGAGGAGGAGGAGGAGCAGGAGGAGGAGGAGGAGCAGGAGGAGGAGGAGGAAGAGGAGGAGGAGGAGGTCTGGAACCATCCAAAGATCTTCAAATACGGCCCAGAGACCTCAGAAGATCATTCGAAGACCTCCGAGATGGAGCTGGCGGGGCCAGAGATCACTCGCTGGCGTCGTTCAGGTGCCCCAGCCGACAGCCGCCAGAAAAAACTCGTTTAGGAACCCACATGTCACCAACCATTTGCTTCATAGGGCTCGTGCTATACCCGTTAAACAAATCTTCGGGCCGAGGAGGTCTGGGGCAGACCGAATAAAGCCTGGGTAGCAGCCCAAGACTTACCGCCTTCACCATGCGTGCCACATGTGCATCCTGTAATCATCCGATCCCAAAAGACCCTTCGGTGAAGGCCATACTTGATGGAGGCTTGGGAGTTGGGTGGAAGGAGTCGGAGGCGGGACAGTTTGACTCGACACTAATCTGCCAATTCTAACCTGACCAGCCTTAGCAGTGCTTCGCCC